AAGAGAAGCAGTCTGCAAAATCCCTTTCCTCATCAGAATAAGTAATACTGCTACAGTTAGATCTAAAATGCCCCCAAGCCGCAGGTGCTCTGAGGTGGGGCTTCTGGAAGGTGGTCGGAGCATGGGGCAACGCGCCCCTCTGTGGATTCAGTCCAGCACTGACGCGTTCACAGCTGAGTGTCCCGTTAGGAGCTGGGGCCTGGCTGGAGGTGGTCACCCGGCTGTGACCGGACTGGTGTACTCTTATCCGAGGCTCCTCCCTGCTCTCTGCTTCCTGGTGCCACGCAGTAAGCAGTTTCCCAGCTACATCCTCCGCCATGTTGCTTCTGCCTTGGGGCCAGCTGACCCTGGACTGACTTCCCAGGCCCTGCGAGCCACAGTGAACGGCTCCTCCTTAAGTTGCGGGTGTCAAGTGTGTCCTCCTAGTGACAGGAAAGCTGACTGATACAGATACTAACAATCTACGTTAAAAATAATTCTCAGTCGTTTTGCATTTCCACTTTTGAGTGGAAATGCCCCTTACTTGTACATTTTGCTAGGAGCAAGGGCTGAGGCCTCTCCTCTATATATCCTGAGGCAGACAGCAGGGCCCAAAGAGGACAGACCAGTGGATACATGGGAAGAAGACAGCTATTCCTAAAAGGCGCCCCCCATGCTGAGGATGCATCCCAAGACCCCCAGTGGATGCCCGCACCCCTGGGTAGGGCCAAACCCCACTCAGACCTCGCTGTGTTTTTCCTATACTTACATCCCTATGATGAAGTTTAATTTATTAGCTAGGCACAGTAAGAGATTAACAGCCACCACTAATAATAAAATAGAACAATTATAACAACAATTGTGGTAAAAGCTATGTGAGTTTCGCCTCTCTCATTGAAGCTTATGAGTCACATCTCAGGCACGGGGAGCCAGGCAAGACAGTACATTATTTCACCAACCTGCGGCCAGGGCTGCAATTTGGAGCTTGCCAACTGTTTCTGGAATTCTCCATGTGATATGTTCAGATGACCTCGGTGGGTAACTAAAGCACAGAAAGCAAAACCCCAGGTGGGAGTATCCGCTGCCAGCCTGGAATCAGAGCGTGTTACAGACATGGCAGAAACTGAGGCACAGAGTTCATGGCTCGCCCAAGGCCGTGCGACCTTTAAGACCAAGTGAACTTGAAGCAGCTCAGTCCTATACAGGTGAGCCCCGCCCCCAGAAGAGCCTGTCAGGGCAAGTCTGCCAGCCTCGCCTGGCGCAGCCAGGGCTGCCATCACTCTTTGTGAGTGCTCCCACAGAGAAAGCGCCCCCTGCACTCTTCATGACCCTCAGGAGCCAGAGCACCAGCTTTCCCTCCGCCTCGCCGCTTCAGCCTCTGAGATGCAGATTTGCTATCCATTGCCTGAAATCCTCCTCCTGCCCCCAGAGCCTCAGAGCTCACCCTGCGGATGAAGGGAGTCTCCATGCTGCTTCTATGAAAGCAGCCTTTTGTCAAGAAAACACGCTTTAGAGTTCCAGGCATTGGACTTTGTTTACAGGCGAAGTGAAGCAGGGTTTGAACTGTGGATTTGGACCTATCACTGCTCTACTTTACAAGGAGCATTCTCTACCATGGACCGAAAATTTCCTCAATAAAACTACAGGGATGCGCACCTACCAACCAGCTGGTAGGCAGCAGACATCCACTCCCACCGCAGGCACCAGCCCACTGCAGCTCAAGACCAGGCTGACCTAGCTCTTCAGTGGCCCCTCAGCCTTCCATGGGCGCGCAGGGTCCTCACAACTTCCAGGAGCCAGAACAGGGCTCTGGCCACCTGTCCTCCTGGGCTGCTGGACCCCTACAGGCATCGCCCACCACTCACCACCTCTGCACCTGCACTCACCAGGGCAACCTGCCTGAGCCACCTGCTTCTCCACACTCCCCACCCCTCCAGCCGCTGTGATCTCAACTACTATGAAGACGTAACTGCTCCAGGATCTGAAAGGCTGACTTGGGAACCTTTCTCTCCCATTCACCAATAGCAACTGAGAGTTCCCATCGGGTGCTCACTGGGCACCTGGGGCAGAGAGGGGGAAGTCTGGGCTCCTGCCTTTGGGGTGCTTATCATGGGGGAGCGAATACCAGGATGCAGGCTGCACCCTAGAGCAACGGGAGCCGGGGAGGGGGAAAATGGAGGACATCGTGGCATTGCTTTAAAGGGAAACCTGCTCAGTGGGCAAGGAATGGAGGACAAGGGAGGGGCGACTGGCGTGCCAGGGTGGGTACTCACTGCACACAGGAGGATAAAGCCAAGGCCCCATCATCAAGCTGCCTGCCCCACCGCTCCTGTCCCCACCCAAGGCCTAAGCCAGTGATGGCAAACCTTTTAGAGCTTTCAATGATACAAACAGCCCCCTGGGGCATGTGGTACCATAGGTTCGCCACCCCTGCGCCTAAGCTAAACATCGTCATCTTCATTTTACAGAGGAGGAAACTGAGTCATGCAAAGCCCCAGACCCCAAAGCCTGTGAGTGGCAGAGCAGCCCTGATGACACAAGAATTCACCCTGAAGGAGCATTTCCACAGCACATGTGTGGCTCCCTCCTGTCAGACCCAGGGGACGCTCTGGCCTTCCCTGACCCCAGCAGGCTCTGGGGACCCAAGCCCTGCAGCCTGTTCCACACAGATGCTGGGGACAGCAGGGACCTGCACCCCCAAACTCATGCAAGAGGGTCCCCAGGGAACTTGATGCTAAAGGTCCTCATCTAGAGCCCTTCTAACCTACAAGCCAGTATGGAAGCAGCCACTGATGTCAGCCCACACCTGCTCAGGCTCAGGAGAGCTCTCCGGGGCTCAAGGATCGAACTAGGTCTCCAGCTTTCCAGGACAAAGCACTTCTGAAGGAGCTCTTCCCCCTCCTTGTCCGATGGTTTTCTCCTTTCTCCCTCTCTCATTCAGCTCTTCTGTGACACCTGTATTGGACACAGGCATCTGCCTCCCACTGAAGAGATTACATCTTACCACGGTAATGCTCCTTTTCCATGGAAAGTCATCAAAAACAAAAATACACATCTCGTAACTGTCTGTTAAGCAGGCACTCTTTAGAGGGGAAAAAAAGGAAGCACTCTGAGGCTGATCTTCTCTGTGTCTTCCCCAGTGATGACGCACTGGGTGAGACTTCCTCCTGGCACCTGCACCGGGTAACTGAAGGCGACTGCACAAAGTCTGGAGTCAGAGCACATTATTTTAAAGACTGCCCTAGTCTCACACAGCATTGCTGATCGACATGCGGTCCAGGTCTGCAGCAAGTGCTTATCAGAAATGCAGGACATCGGGCCCCACCTCCACAGCCCAGAGCCGCAGAGTCAGGATCTGCCTCCTAACTGGACTGTGGGTGATTCGGACTCACGTTAGTGTTTTAGGAGCACAGCCAGAGGAAAGAGAGTTTTCTCGTATTGCCATCCCAGACCCTCCACGTAGGTTTCTGTCCTAAGACAGGAAATCTCTGCTTCGTGAGCTCCCTAAACACCCTGAAATGGGGGTACCCTGGCACACACTCACCAAGGAGCCCCCAGCAAGGCACGGCTGGTGCTGACCTTTGTGCAGCATGAGGAGCCCACCAGGAAAGGGATCCGGGCCTGGAGCCCACACACAGACCTATCCCACCCTCCAGGGTTTCCAAGGCTCAGGATCTCTCTGCCCAGCTCGCGGCCTCTCAGGCAGGGGAGGAAGAAGACAGGATGACTGGGTGGGCAAACTGCCTTCAAGGCCTCAGTCTCCACACCTCCAGCAATATGCTCCAGCCACAGGTAGATGAGCCTAGTTATCTGTCATCCACCTGGGGACACAGACCAGGAAGCCAGAAGACCATAAGGACCTGCTTAGAGAGAATGGAGGCGGGAACAGAAAAGCCAGGGAAGCAGGCCGGCAGGGACCCAGGCCTGCAAAGCACCGCTGGTGTCCAGCGAAGGCCAAAGGCTCTGACCAGAGACCTGGCAGGCCACACAGACGCATTTGGCCTCTCTTTCGGCCTTACCCTCTATGAACATGATGCCTCCTCACAAACATTTCTATAAAAAATACAAAGACCAAAAAGGCTAATCCTTGCACAAAAAAAAGGGGGGGTCCCCACCCAAGGAAGCGTTTTCTCCCCGCAGGACACTGGCATGACAAAGGCTCTTACACTCTGGATCTTTCCCATGTCCAAGTGGAACGGCGGTGTTATTGATTACAGTGTGTTAAGGCTCAACTTGGTTTTCACCTCCCCCACTTTTGCTAATTTTCACTTATTTTTTTTCATCTTCACTTTCAGAGTCTCTGAAACAGCAATATTTTCAAACACGAAGATGGTTTATTTATACCAAGCAATACTTGTTTTCCAACTAACACTCACTTATTTACATATGAACAGTATCTCAGCTCTGGAAACACAACTCTGTCCTTTGAACATGGCCACACTGCTGGTCTGGACTGGGCAGGGACGATGACCCACAGGGAGCAGGGAGGGGGAGCCCCTAAGCCCTGCGGTCCAGCCAGGCCACAGGCAGCCCCCTCCCTCCCTAGGAGCCAGGGTAGACAGATAAGGCCCCTTCAGAGACAGGAGGCACCCATGCCATTCCAGCTACTTCCGGTTCACAGAGCAGCCCTGAGGGCTCCTGAGCCGACCTGGCCCAGCTGAGCCACCCTCCAGGAACGCACCTGCCCACCTGAGGGGCACAGACACGGCCGCCTCCCAAAGACAGAAGTTCACTTTCCATCTGCCCGTGCTCCTTGGGGCGGGAGCCCCCTGCAGCTCCTGCTAATCCAGAGGCTGCAACCTGGTCTCCATACCCTGGGCAGGGCAAGGGTCCAAGCATCATGAACCCACTGCTCTCCTCACTTGGCCCGAATGGGGTGGGTTGAAGCTACAGTGGGGCCAAGCTGGGACGCAGGGAGAATGTGGCGCTGGACCTGGTCAGTGCTCTGGGCGCCCAAGGTCCTGGAGGAAGAAGGGGTTGGCTGGGCACCCGCAGTCGCGCGCGGGGTGGGGGTCACTCACCGACTGTGAGCTGCGCGGGGCCCAGGCACAGCGCCAGCTGCAGCCACAGGGTTGCAGCCGGGGGTCTCCGGGGGGCCGGCGGCGGCCCCGGGAACGCGCGTCCACGGTCCCCACGGTCTCCACGGTCTCCACGGCGTCCACGGCGCGGGCGCGCTCCATGATGCATCTTTCACCCGCGCGGCGGGCGGGCGGGCAGTCCGCCAGCGCCT